CAGCTGCGAAATAGCATGCAACTGACTGATCATTATTAGGTCTGCCGGTAAGGATTGGGTTTATCATCTCTCTTGGTTGACCACTGCCCTGATTTTTATAAAAAGCAACTTTGTTTTTTAAAGTAATGCCATGTTTCTCAGCACTGAGATTAGTATTTAGAAGATGGATACCAATGGTGTGTGGCTACTCAAAAAATAAAAAAATAAGATGCTTCAATCTCTAATTCATTACTGATTTTTCTCCCTGTGAGGCTGGGAAGAAATACAGATGGAGAGACTAAAATCTCTCTTCAAAGCTGCACCTTGGGGCTTCCCCGGTGGCGCAGTGGTTGAGAGTCCGCCTGCCGATGCAGGGGACACGGGTTCATGCCCCGGTCTGGGAGGATCCCACATGCCGCGGAGCGGCTGGGCCCGTGAGCCATGGCCGCTGAGCCTGCGCGTCCGGAACCTGTGCTCCGCAATGGGAGAGGCCACAACAGTGAGAGGCCCGTGTACCACAAAAAAAAAAAAAAAAGGAAGGTGCACCTTGGATCCTAGGCTTGCTGGTAGATCATCTTATTGTGCCTTCTCCTACCTTCTTCCAGGCCGTGTGTGTGTGTGTGTGTGTGTGTGTGTGTGTGTAATATACACACATACATAATCTATTGCTCATTTTCCTAAAGAATAGTGCTGGGAGAATTAGCTGAGTTTCCCAGTATGCCTATAAAGGCTACTCAATCTTTCCCCACAGCTGCTATAGCTGATGCATCTAGTATAGTGCCTGGCACTGAGTGGATACTCAAAAATGTTTGTTGAATGAGTGGATGGGTGGATGGACAAATGTTAGCAGGGTATGATCCCATTTAAGACCCTGCTATTGTAGCTCCATGTGATGATTTCATGCAGAACTTCCTTGCTGCTAAAATTCATTGCCCATGTATAGGGTTTTCTCAGAGAATGCTGACAGACAACTTGCTCTTCTTAAAGCTTACAGCAGTCTGAAATGCCTGCCTTACAGAATCATTTGGTAAACAAACTTTCCAAGCTCCTGCTTTGCACCAGCTCCTGTGCCTGGAAGTAGGGATCAGAAGATGAATAAAACACAGTTTTTGCCATTATAGAGCTCTCAAAATACTCAGAGGCAGCCATGTAGAAAGGTGATTCCAACAAAACATGGCACATACTATAATGCAGGTTTCAACAGACTTCACGGACCAGCATGCTCTACCTGGTATTTCAGGGAAAAGCATAGTGGTAGAGACACCTGGACTGGGTGGTAGTAAAAAATGGCATGGCAGAGAAAATGAGGAAGGGCTTTCAAGGTTCAAGGTCTGCATGTGTGGAGATACAGAACAGTAAAAGGCACAGAATTTTAGAGAATAGTGAGATGGTCAGTGGCTAGAAGCAGAGGGCATGGGACGATGTGGCAGGGGATGAGGCTGGAAAGATGAACTGAGGGAGGATAAGAAGTAGCATTGGTGCCTTACTAGTGACTGCGGAGTTCACCATGCAGGCAACTGGGGACAAACGGAAGCCTTAACCAGAGAAACAACTCTGTAGGTATTGTCTACAGTGGCCAGAAGGAGTGGGGGAGGAAAGTGGGAGAGGAAGAAGAGAGGGAGTGCGGGGTAATTATAGAAAAGCATTTCAGGATATACTCGGTATATATGCCCAGGAGTGGGATTGCTGGATCATATATCCAGAGAAAACCATAATTCAAACGGATACATGCACGCCAATGCATACATGGACATATACACACTACTATTCATGGAATAGATAACTAATAAGAACCTAATGTATAGCACAGGGAACCCTACTCAGTATTCTGTAATGGCCTATATGGGAATAGAATCTAAAAAAGAGTGCATACATGTGTGTGTATAACTGACTCACTTTGCTGTACCGCAGAAACTAACACAACATTGTAAATCAACTATATGCCAATAAAAATTTTTTTTAAAAAGTCATTTCAGGAGCCTCATAAACAGACAACCAGAAAGAAGAAGAAGCAACAGATTTTAAGACATCTCTGCAGCAGAACTGTCAAGACTGGGTGACTGATTGCATGTGGGGTAAAACAGATATGATAGAGGATGACTCCCAGCTTTGTGTAAATGGTAAAGCCTTTAATTAAGACAGGGACACAGAAAACAGCTGGCTGGGGTAGGTGTAGGAGTGAAGGGATTGCAAGGACATAGGGAAAGACAACATGTAAATTTTCCAGAGACGAGTCTTTGGAAAATAACGAGTAGCTCTACGCCAAACCATTTCCAACTACCCCTGATAAAGCCAATGAATCAAAAGAGAACAAAACCCGAATCTAACAGATGTTTATCAAAGGCACACACAACTGGAAAGATCTTCCTTTTAAGAAACATCAGGGTGAAAAACAACTAAAATATACAAATAAGAAATGAGTGCTTTGAACTTAAAGAAAAAGAGCTCATTAACAGGAAATTATTTACAACCTATGCGTTCCGAGGTTTCTGAACTGATGGCTGGACAAAATGCTCAACCTGACCTATTTCTTCTTCCTTCTCTAAGTACTATAGTAACATCTACCAAATGAAAATGATTTTCATAAAATACAAAACCTCCCAGACAGTCACAGTCTTCAATTTGGCAACACATGTGGATTTCTCTCCAGCCTTGTCAGACAGAACATATTCTGGACAAATCAAGAAAGAAGGACGTCCCGGAGCAATCGCAGAAATGAACGCCAGTTGTCTGAAAAAGAAGTTTGCCGTCATCTTGGGACACAGCATTTCTAGAAACAATGACCCATTTGGCAGCTTCACACATGTTCCCATCTCTGAAAGCTTTCCAACTTTCCAGGCCCTACTTTCTTCAGGTCTGGGATTTTCTTGAGTATAAATCTTTGGTGAAGCAAGTGCAGAATCTTAATTCCATTCAGTATTACTCATTCCATTCACCCTTTTTTTCTTCCTTGTGTTACCGACCCTTGTTTCACTGCTTCAGAGACCTTGTCTGGGCACCTCATATCAAATGACAGCACTGTGGAATGTCTAATTATGTCACTGTTGAATTTATACAGCTGTCCTAGATGGTCTGTTAAACAGTGCTGGTCCTGTGACTTTTGAAAACAGCCTTTGTTACAGGGAGGATATGCCTTTCCTTGTAAGAGAAAGTTTCATTTTGGACCAGTCAACATCTGAAAGGCCCTGAGTTAGTATTATTCAAAATAACAAGCTCTACTTGTTCAGTTTCTATTGAATTTCTATTGATTACTTAGATTATAAAGGGTACGGAGTTATGTGTCCCTGAAATCAGAAAATACTCCACCTGTCTTCAAGCATCTGACAATATCACACTTCATTGAATTTTCAGACTTTAAAGGGGTCTCTTACAATACAGTGGGGTTTTCCAGAATATGTGAACTCTAGGTCAAAAGAAATTTCCTGGATAATTTCTAACCTATAGACCTAGGTTAAGAGAGATTCTGGGGAGCTAAGTGTTTTCCCTTTTGAAAGGGAGGTCAGACTAAGTTTCAGGGAAAGGATGTAGGGTCACAGAAGGAAGAATGGTGATCCAGTCAAAGGAGAGCCCTTTGTTGGGGAAGCACAAGGTGGTGGAGCCTCTGGAAGCAAAGAGACCCTGTCTTCAGTGAAGGCCTTTGACTTCTGAACTCATGATCTCCTTTATGAGATTTTCTTCAATGTCAATTGCTCTTTTGTTCATGTTTGCTTCTTAACCTGATTTCCATTGCAGGGTGACAGTTTTTCCCCCTCCCCATCTTTTGGATCTTCAGAAACAAATAGTCAAAATAATTCCTTCAAGTTCTTTGTAGAAGTAGGCTGTTTTATTTTTTCATTTCATTCAGAGTCACAGTTTGAGTTCTAATTGTGTTGCTATGAAATGAATGCATTGTTTCCCAACATTATTATAACCAGAACTAAGAATGTGCACATTGTTCTTCATCACTTTCACAACACATCTCATCCATTAATGCATAATCCTTGAATAACTAATTTGACACCACAAGTAACAAATTTTAAAAACTGAATCACCCTTTCTCAAAAGATAGTTTGTAGATATGTACATAGGACAAATAAAAATAATAAAATGTTAAAAGTCCTTCCTGATAATTAAATTTTAAAATTTACCCCTTTTTCCTGGTCCCAAACATCCTTCATGAAAAGGGTAGAATTGAAGTCTGTTTTCAGATTATATGTTTGAATCTAAATGAAGCAACATTTTGGCTGTTTATTTAGCTAAGAAGAATTAAGCTAAATTTTCAGCACTTATGAGTATTTAGGAAAAAATGATTGTTGGTATTTTGCAACTACATCAGTTAATGTATATTCTTAACTCTGTGGATACTTTCAATAAGCTGATGACATAATTGTGTGAGTAAATATATTCTTTTTAAACATTATTGCATTTCAAATAAAAAGTACACAGAATGTACTACATTTGAGTGACTATCACTTTTTCTCTATAGGATGAATAGGCTAATTTATAACTTGCTAAGAGTCAATGAGGCCAAATGCTCTGTACAGTATAGAGAAAAACACCCATCATGAAATGGCTGAAGAGTACAAAGGGGTCATTGATTTATAAAGTGTACAATCTTTTGGTTCTCTGCTTTATATTATGGTCATTCCTCTATAACACTTTTATTCCTAGATCAATTAAGTCAGTAAAAGTGGTGGCATGTAAAGAAAGCCTAGGCTCACACTTGGGCCTAGGATCAGTTCTTGAGTAGTTCAAGGTTATGCATTTATGATTAGATAGAACTTCTGACCCCTCCCACTGACCCTGAAGAAGGACTGGAGACTGTGAGATACCATCCAATATCCATTCTCTCCTTCCGGGAATACATTTTTACTTGGGGTAGAAATGCAAGCAACCTAAAGATGACACTTTTCTTCCTCCCTTGCAGTTAGGTGGCCAAATGACCATGAGATAAGAGAGAGTTCTGGGTAGTTGCTTAAAGGGAATTTATTGAACATGGACGTTTAACTTTTTGTCCTTTCTTCCTGATGTCTGGACTGCAGATGTGACGAAAGGAGCTCTGGTTGCCATCTGGAATTACGAGGTAAACTTGAGGATGGAATGGGAGTCAAAAAATGAAAGGATCATGGATTCCTGACAACAGTGTTGCTGTTACACGGCCTGGGCTGCTTAACTCCAGACTTCTTTCTATATGAGAAAGAAATCAACTCTTGTCAAAGTATTATTGCAGGTTCTCTATTACATGGATTCAATCCAAGGTGATAGGAGGATAAGTATTATTTCAATTTTGCGATTACTGGGAAGGGCTGGATGACCTTCAGTTTCTCATTATATACAGAATTACATATGACAGGACATGATAATAATAATGACATTATTCCTATTTAATAAAATCTGTTCCAGTCACTGTTCAAAGTACTTTTTACAGTTCTTTTACAGATTATATATATATATATATATATATATATAGAGAGAGAGAGAGAGAGAGAGAGAGAGAGAGAGAGAAAGAGAGTATATAGGTACAAGATATCTTGTACCCCTGAAGAGTAGGTGTTATTATTATCTCTGCTTCATGAATAAGGAAACTGAAGAGGTTAGGGAGCCACTTTTAAATGGTACAGCTAGGAACTGAGCCCTGGACCGGTCTATGGTCTTAATCATGAAGTTATACTGCCTCCCAGTGAAGTAGCTAGCCATCTCCTGAGCATGTTTCTCTTCTGAAAACAGTATATTTTCATCTCTTCTTTCTTCACCATTGATACCCCTTTGATATGAGGTGGAAACTCCACACCATAGAGCATGTATGTAATGACTCCTAATCCTGTCTTAACAGACTTAGTCACAGAGCCCTAGAGGGCTACCAGCTTAGCAAAATGGCTCTGAGACTCAACACTGCCAGCCTTAGTTGGGGGGAAGGGGAGGGAGTAAAGGCCAAATGGGTAGTGCTTAGGGACATAAAGCATCCTATCACCGTGGAAAACCAACCAGTAACTAAGCATTTGTCTCCTAAAGTTCTATTTACAGTCTGCTTGAGTAAGGCGGTAAATAGCACATCAGATACTAAAGCAACCCTGAAAGGCTGTACGAAGATCCTTGAAACATACAATCTCTTTTGAGCTATTATGTCTTCTAACTGTAAAGTATAAGAAGGCATGCTCTGATTCTTTTGTTTAAAATAAAAGAATTAATAATGCCATAGAAAACAATAGTTTCTCTTCTACTGTTGCTTTACGTTTTGTTATTGTTACTGCTATTCATTTGGCATGGAACATCATCAAAAAAGACACAGGGGCTTCCCTGGTGGCGCAGTGGTTGAGAGTCCACCTGCCGATGCAGGGGACACGGGTTCGTGCCCTGGTCTGGGAAGATCCCACATGCTGCGGAGCGGCTAGGCCCGTGAGCCATGGCCGCTGAGCCTGCGCGTCCGGAGCCTGTGCTCAGCAACGGGAGAGGCCACAACAGTGAGAGGCCCGCGTACCGCAATTAAAAAAAAAAAAAAAAAGACACAGAATAACAGACCACTAAAACTGGATCAGTCCTTTGTATCAGTCAGAATATTGTAGGCTAGATACAGAAAAAAAGAAGAAGAAAAAGGAAAAGATTAGCAAATCTCAGAAGCCCCAGGTAGTTGGTGATAAGAACTGCTGATGAAAACAATCAGGCACTACACGTTAGTCAACAATTTTTAAAAATGAACTCGCACCTAGTAACAGTCAAGTCTAAACCTCCTTTGGCCTCATATGCAGATAGAGTTAAACCAGAGAAAATGCTTATGTTCCATGAAGCTCTCAGATAGCGACTTAAAAATGCCTGCTGACAGCAGCCTGGTTTAACTCCAAGAGACTAACCATTTCTGGCAACTGGATTTCAAAAGGGAGAAGGACATGAGAAGGAAGTCCTTCAGAATAGATTATGGCTGACATCCTTGCCCAGGAAAAGGAAGGCCACTGCCTCATTGTTTTTGGGCATGTGGAGAGCACAGCATCAGCAACATTCCGAGTATGCGGGGACTGCTTTACAAGGATCTGAGAAACAAAAATAGAGAAAAAAGAATTCTAAAGCCTGACTAAAGCTTGAAAGGCAAAAGTAGACAAATACATGAGTCGTGAGCTGTTTCCTGCCACCTTCTACATATACTGTAATAAAAATGGTACAAGAACAGTACTTTCCCTCATAATACTTTGATCAACAATGCTTTCTTTTCTCTCTCTCAGTAATTCTTTGTATGATATCTTATCACAATGCGTAGTATCCAAATATTTCAAAATATCCAGGTGCCTGAAGGAAGATTTCATTCCATAATCTACCGTATATAAAGTCATATAATTCCTTCCAGGGTCAAATATAAACAAACATAATTGCTACTTTAATGGCTATATCCAATGCAATTACTACACTGCCATAATTTTTTAAATTATTTTTGTTCTGGGCTTCCCTGGTGGCGCAGTGGTTGAGAGTCCGCCTGCCGATGCAGGGGACACGGGTTCGTGCCCTGGTCCGGGAAGATCCCACATGCCGTGGAGAGGCTGGGCCCGTGAGCCATGGCCGCTGGGCCTGCGCGTCCAGAGCCTGTGGTCCGCAACGGGAGAGGCCACAACAGTGAGAGGCCCACGTACCGCAAAAAAAAAAAAAAAAAAATTTTGTTCCTTTTATACTTTTAAATGTGGTGCATTTCAGAGACAGCTAGAAGTCATTTTTAGCTAGTTAGCTGTTCTGGGCAGATATAATGGTCCTGATGTTCAAGGTCTTGTAGCTGATATGAGTATATTTGTATTCAACATTAAGACCATTACTATCTGGCTGAGTTACTCATTCCTACTTTCAAGATGCCACAATACAGGCGTGCTTGTCTATTCCTCTTAAAGGCACAGGGGTAGAGCCAGGTTGGGATGATGGTATGAAGGTGGAGGGAGCAGACAGAGTTGAATTCTCTGTATCTCTGTAAACTTCTAAAAGGTTTTCAACCTCTGGGGCCAGTTACTAGGGATCAACGCCATTATTAGAAACTACCACTGACAGCATAGAGTTTTACCTGTAGTCCTTGGTTTATACTTCATTTGTTCAAAGTATCATTTTCCTAGGATTGCTTTCTTATATCCTTTTAGAAGTTCTGATGATTTCCAACCCAAGAGAAAACTTATTCAGGGAGTGGTGGTGAACAGTACCCTTTTGTGATTCCATATTGCTTCAGTTAGAGTTTTTCACTAATGACAGCAACAAGGGAATTTTATGGAAGGATGTGGAAGAGCTCATGGAATTTGAGAGGTAACTAGTCAACCAGGTTTGAAACAAGCAGGTCCTGGTCCAGCTGCCACAAAAGGACATTTCTTCTGTGCCTGCAACACTGACCAAAATTCACAGTCCCAGGAGAAAGAGTTTTGTTTTTTGGGGTTTTTTTTTGTGGTACGCGGGCCCCTCACTGTTGTGGCCTCTCCCGTTGCGGAGCACAGCCTCCGGACGTGCAGGCTCAGCCGCCATGGCTCACGGGCCCAGCCGCTCCGCGGCATGTGGAATCTCCCGGACCGGGGCATGAACCCACGTCCCCTGCATCGGCAGGCGGACTCCCAACCACTGCACCACCAGGGAAGCCCGAGAGAGTTTAATTGACCAAATTCAGTTCGAGGCCTAATGGAATCAAGTGAAAGGAACAGAGCGGAAGGACTGCACTCAATGGGGAAATGACAATTCCCCGAAGGAAAGAATGATAAGAATAGAGAATGGCTGCTCGCTGGCCAAGAAGCAATAAATGTCCACCTCCCTATTTTGGCTTTTGTGGGATAGATGACGAGACGTGCTGACTGTCAGCAGGAGTACACCACTGAAGAAAAAAAGATGTATTGAAAGACTGAAGCCGAAAAACGTGGGTATGCTCATGCTAAAAACAAATAAAAGAAAATAAACTATCAGTAAATAAAAACAAAACCAAACCAAAGCCTGCCTCTGAGGTGGAGTTAGGCTGTTCAATGGCGGTATCATGAACATTCTTTTCACCATTGTTTTTACCATGAGATTCTGGAACAAAACTTGGCAAGGGATGCCAGGTGGTTCTAAAGGTACTATCAGTCTGCTTGTCCAGTAGGGCTACTGTCTTCTGCCGTTTCATCCACTGTTACTTATTTACTTCTATCTCCAAGGCATGAGGATATAGTTTGGAAGCTTCGGTAGACTTCAGTTAAGCGAGAGATAGACAAGACTGCATTTGGAAGACTTCTTTTAGCTGCAGAAAGTTGGTGCAGTTGGGGCATGGAGTAATTCCTAAGGGATTCATGGTTTCAAACTGAGATGTGACCAGAGAAGGTAGAAGCACAGGTAAAGATCAAATAATTAGGGAAAACATATCATAGAATCATAAAATGTTATTGTCACCACAGACTCACACTGATTTGGAATGCCAAATACTTTGCTTATAAACTCACCTGATCTCACCCTATACTCAGGATACACATCACCCAACACTCAAGACACTCTGCTACTGGTCAGCTGCAGAGAAAATTACCTGTTGGCTTTGTCTCTTCCAAACCCATCTACTATAACACTGTTGTCATTATCTTTCAAAAATTTCAAACTGGATCCTTAAGGCTCCTAATAGTCTTGCTCCAGAAACATTTATTCCCCAACCCATACTCTCTCCTTCAAGCCACAGTGACCTTCTTATCATTTTCTCAAGCACATAGCCATCTTTCACTATTTCATGACTTTATATATGTGGTTTCCCTTTTCTCAAATACACTGGCCTTCTACCACAATGATGAACTTCCTTCTATCCTTCAAAACATTTCATCCCTTTTTTATCTTTGACACCTTCCTGAAATCCACCAAAATGAGTAATTCTTACCTTCTGTATTCCTGTAACACTTTGCATTTCTCTCTTTTGTAAGATAACTTTCATTGGCTTTTAGTGTTTATACGCCTAGGTCCCTCAGGCTTCATGCCACCTGAAGGTAGACATACATCTTATTCTTTTTTTGATTTGTCCTAACTTAAGAACAGTTTGGTCCATTGAAGATGCTCAACAAATGATTACTGATTGGCTAAATGAATGCCAGCTGAATTTCAGGGTCTCCTGCCATAATCCCTGAGAAAGGAGGGATCTTCTGACTCAATGTTATATTTTCCTTGCTACTAAAAGGTGTGTGTTTTGAGTTTTGTGTATATAATGTATGGCTTACCTTCACTTGAAATATTAAAATGAAATTTCTAGTTTTCCTTGTTTCATCTTGCTTTAGCCTGATTTGTGTATTGGTCTTTATAAATGTAAATTAAAGTCTTATGCTATTTAGGGAAGCTGAGATTAATCAAAACCCCTGTGCTTTAAAAAGAATATCCATATTTATTATTTGAATTACATATAATTCTGTTTATTTAACAACATTTTTCTGGATACAGTTTTGAATCTC